TATCATTTCGTTATATAACTACATGACAATTTATCACTTCCATTTGACTGTGCATATACACATGTTTTCTACTTGAACGAATTTGCTCAATCATATCTGATAATTCTATACAAAGTATAGTTTATGAATATTATATAACATTATGTTTTTCATAAATATACCATTACAAGTTTGTTCTTCAATCGTTAGACAAACAAATAATTTTTAATCAGGCCATTCAAGTTTAAACAAAAATTATAAGATAAAACTATGAAATAAAAATGTTAGCAAACCGCTTTTACGAAAAAAAAAAAACTATTACCTAAAATGGATCAAATATTTTTTTTCTTTCTATTATTTATAATTTGTAGATAATAAGAATGTTTATAAGAATCTGAAATTCTTTTCTATTAAAATATCACGACATTGTATCAAGTGTTCATCTATAATTATAAGTTGTGTGCTTTCATCACTTAATTTTGAATATTGAAATGTAAATTGTATATGGTAGATGACATTATTAAACCTACTAACAAAGCGAATAGTAATACTATAATACCTTCATTGTGTTTGTTGCTGTTAAATTGCCTATAAAATACGCCGTGTTACAACAAAATAATTGTTCAAATCAAAGTATACAAGTTATCTGTGGAAATGTGACAGTAGTTAGAAAGAAAACCTTTAATTAATKATTATTAATTTACAAAAATAATAATCTCGTGCGAAAAATAAATATACATCATGGCATGATCGCTTTAGAACAGACAAGACGTAAGGCGTTCATATTATACTTGACTATGATRACCATTCATCGAACGCCTCAAATTAATAAAATATGCGTATCACACAGACAAATATAATATGATATAAATCATCGAATAAATATATATATATTCGAGTTCAAATTATACAAATTTTGTTTTTTCAATGGACATTATATGTATATTAATTATTATTGGAATTTAACACATGCATATTATAGTTGTGTAGCCAAACAAAAATTTCATACTATTAGTGTTTATTTTTCATGTCTATAAAACCATATAAAATATAACTTGAAATGAATTCGATTTCCATGGTATTAAATTTAAATTTAGTAACATATAAATAAAATCATAATATTATTATTTTTTATATGCTTAAACTCATTAAATCCATATAAGTATATATTTCATTAAAATAATTTAAAACTATTAAGAATTAGATTTTTGTAAAAACAAACCATGTATAGATACTTTAAACTATATAAGCCCATATAAAAAAAGATAATAGTAATAATTTGAAGAAAAAAAACAATGAAGCTGATGAAACGTATCAGGCTGTCTAATATAATATTATAATATATACAAAGGCGGGTCACGAAAAATCCCTTTTTATCCTTTAATAATACATTTATTTAAATCCTTACTTTTTGAATTTTAAAGTGTACTTAAGCAATACATTTTCAAATACTCACATTATTTTACGTATTGACCTGTGAAAATATATATATATATTTTTTTAATTAAACCACTATTTTTACTGTAAATTGTTAAGTACAATTAGTTTTTTTTTTTTTAAATATGTCGATGCATTTGATTCAAAATTACGACGATTAGTTTCTAAATTGTTAACTTTATGTAGGTACTTAATATAACAATCCTCAATAACTATTCTATAACAAATTAAAAATGATAGATATAATACCTTAATATGTTATTAATGATTTTGATAATCGAACAAATATGAGATGCTTATATATTAATGTTAATTAATACAATTTTTTAATCACCATTCATTTCATACATTTATTCAAATTTGTTTTTTCAATCGCTTTAAGAAAATCATTAAATCCATTACCGAGACATGAACAATACATACTCGTAGACATAACATTAGTTATTAACGTTTACTAATAGAACATTCAATACCATACCTATTAGGAACCCCGTGACCACCATTTAACTTGTACGTTATAATTTTTTATTTAAAAACATATGATAAGATAGACATCCAGGGATTTTTAAATACTTAAATAGTTTGTCAAATCCTAAATTTGTGGATATATAATTATGGAAAATTGTAATCGATTAAAAATAAATCACTGATGAGTGATGGCAGTTTGTTATTAATTTTTAGTTTCCTTGTCGATTTCACTTATGAGCGTTTAACGCATTTTGTGCTTTCGGACCTTTATAATACATTTTGATATATTATCGTTTCGTAGATATCAATAATAAATTAAAATAAACTCGTTTAACTGAATCATAAAAGCGATGTGGTATACCACTAGAGATGTTCGGTACATTTGTAGTACTGGGTGATAATAACTTTATCATTAACCTAGAAATATAATGGACTTTTTAATTTTCGGAACAAATACTATTAAAATTAACAAACTAGAGTTTTATTAAACGATTGTATTCAAAATTATTTCTTATAATTCCTAAGATATTACTAATATTATTATTCTGGCAAGTAGCAGCAAGGGTTGGCATAACTATAACAAATAGGCAATATTGAAATAATTAATAGCTAAACTATATTTTACATAGTACCTATAGAAATAAAATAAATAATAGGTATATACAAATAAAATAGGTATGGAAATAACATTGAGGACACAAGCTGGTAATAAATTCTATTTTAGCTTATCAAATTTACTACGATCTGGACTAATATCAAGAAAACTTAAGTCCCAAATATACCATACACTTTTCAAATTAGTTGTGACATTTGAATCAGAAACTTGATCAATAAGAAAAATGGACAAAAATTCTTTATTGGGGTTTAAAAGGATGGAACTGAAGAAAATCTATAGATCAAGCAAAGATGAATCTATAGGTGAATAATACGTAAAACAAWGAATTCAGAGAATTGTATCTGCAGGACCCAAGCATCACAGAAGATATCGCCAAAGACGGCTTAAGTGGGCAAGTCACTCTTGACGTAAAAAAAAGTTTATGTTGAGAATAGTACAGGNACATTTATTTAAATCCTTACTTTTTGAATTTTAAAGTGTACTTAAGCAATACATTTTCAAATACTCACATTATTTTACGTATTGACCTGTGAAAATATATATATATATTTTTTTAATTAAACCACTATTTTTACTGTAAATTGTTAAGTACAATTAGTTTTTTTTTTTTAAATATGTCGATGCATTTGATTCAAAATTACGACGATTAGTTTCTAAATTGTTAACTTTATGTAGGTACTTAATATAACAATCCTCAATAACTATTCTATAACAAATTAAAAATGATAGATATAATACCTTAATATGTTATTAATGATTTTGATAATCGAACAAATATGAGATGCTTATATATTAATGTTAATTAATACAATTTTTTAATCACCATTCATTTCATACATTTATTCAAATTTGTTTTTTCAATCGCTTTAAGAAAATCATTAAATCCATTACCGAGACATGAACAATACATACTCGTAGACATAACATTAGTTATTAACGTTTACTAATAGAACATTCAATACCATACCTATTAGGAACCCCGTGACCACCATTTAACTTGTACGTTATAATTTTTTATTTAAAAACATATGATAAGATAGACATCCAGGGATTTTTAAATACTTAAATAGTTTGTCAAATCCTAAATTTGTGGATATATAATTATGGAAAATTGTAATCGATTAAAAATAAATCACTGATGAGTGATGGCAGTTTGTTATTAATTTTTAGTTTCCTTGTCGATTTCACTTATGAGCGTTTAACGCATTTTGTGCTTTCGGACCTTTATAATACATTTTGATATATTATCGTTTCGTAGATATCAATAATAAATTAAAATAAACTCGTTTAACTGAATCATAAAAGCGATGTGGTATACCACTAGAGATGTTCGGTACATTTGTAGTACTGGGTGATAATAACTTTATCATTAACCTAGAAATATAATGGACTTTTTAATTTTCGGAACAAATACTATTAAAATTAACAAACTAGAGTTTTATTAAACGATTGTATTCAAAATTATTTCTTATAATTCCTAAGATATTACTAATATTATTATTCTGGCAAGTAGCAGCAAGGGTTGGCATAACTATAACAAATAGGCAATATTGAAATAATTAATAGCTAAACTATATTTTACATAGTACCTATAGAAATAAAATAAATAATAGGTATATACAAATAAAATAGGTATGGAAATAACATTGAGGACACAAGCTGGTAATAAATTCTATTTTAGCTTATCAAATTTACTACGATCTGGACTAATATCAAGAAAACTTAAGTCCCAAATATACCATACACTTTTCAAATTAGTTGTGACATTTGAATCAGAAACTTGATCAATAAGAAAAATGGACAAAAATTCTTTATTGGGGTTTAAAAGGATGGAACTGAAGAAAATCTATAGATCAAGCAAAGATGAATCTATAGGTGAATAATACGTAAAACAAWGAATTCAGAGAATTGTATCTGCAGGACCCAAGCATCACAGAAGATATCGCCAAAGACGGCTTAAGTGGGCAAGTCACTCTTGACGTAAAAAAAAGTTTATGTTGAGAATAGTACAGGRAAAGGCACTACAAGGCAAAGATCACTTGGAAGACCTAATCTTAGATGGGAAGATAGAGTCAAAAAGTGAAGCCAGGGATGGATGAAGTTATTATTGAATGGGAAAATCTAAAGACAAATTCGTTGGACAACAAGATCTTGAAAACTTTCATCACGGTAGAAGAAAAATAGGTATAAATAAACATATATAGTAGGCCATCCCATTTCTATTTCACYTTCTACTTCGCTTACTTTACATGAATACGTTTCTAATTGCTCTGTATAGTGTATAGCATATTACTATATTGGCCAGCGTCTTTCGCGTTTATTAGGTCTATATCATTCTATAGCCAATATACGAAATATAATTTACTGTGGGTTTAATTTTTATACTTGTACGTGTATATATATATATATATATATTTGAGATCTGTACATATTATTTCGTTATATGACCAGTCGGTGCACTCACTGCAGGACGATTGCAACCCGTCATTAACACCACCGCTACTAGTACTGCTCTCTCTCCTCCGGCAGTGGTCCACGACGATGTCATCGCGACTCACGACCGGGTTCAATTCCAGTATGGTGACATTGTAACGTTTCCTGGTATTCTTAGGACAAATATCCCCTGTAAAACCAACCAACCTGTAGTCTCGACAAGCACCGTCARAGTACATTTTCTACACTGCACAAATTCAGTATAATATTGGTTCAAAAAKTATTATACATTATTATTTATTTATGTAAAAGGGAATAAATATATTACAATATTTATGGCCAGAGTAATTTTGGAAAGTATAAATAAGAAAATCACATCCAGAAAATTAAGAAGARGTAAGATTTGTCTACTAGAAATTTATGAGCAGTTTAATTAATATACGGTATCAAATAATTATTCATTGAATATATCATTTTATGAAGTCTTTAATATTTCCATACCAGTTATAAAAGTTTATTATTAAATTTGAAGAAATTCTAGTCTAAAATATTACTTTTAGACTATTTTAGAATATCATTGAAAAATAAAATAATATATTATTTATAAATTCTTCGAAAACGATATTAGTAGTTCYACAGATAAAAATATTACTGTTGATATTGGGAAAAGGTTATATAAATACCAACCATCAAAACAAGTGGAATATATTAATTAAACTAAAATAATAAAACAATTTATGACTTTACAGACAAATATAGCYGGGTAYAAAAGACAATTTCCTTGCCTACAACGATTAAAAKAATTATTCAAGAACAACAATGAATAGTTCGAGTGTTCTAGCTATAYGTTACAAATCCAATGTTCTATTTTTATTAACTCGGATAAAATTAATCATGAGYTTGTAGCGAATGGCGTTGAATAAAATGGTAAACTGTCTTCTGTTAGTTCATAGCATTGTGTATTTTATTTAATTTGCTATAATTCAATCTGTTATGTAGAAAAACGTTTAGGAAAGCTGACTCTTTTCTAGACTTGAATTAAGAAAGAGATTATTTGGTTTTAAATTTATGTTGGTACTTTTTCTTGTCGAATAAAACAAACTGTGTGAGAGTGAGGAGGAAAGTTTTAATTTTTTTATTTTAAGAACTTATAGTACAACTATTACAGCTCGACAATTACAGATTAATGCAATTCTATATACGATAATAGCACAGCAATTAGATAGGTGAATGATTTAAAATAACAGTAAAAAGGAGGAAAGTTATTAATTTAAAAATAAAAACCACTTCCTCCGTGTTTTTTCTAATTATACCACTTGTATACAGGTGGCATAATATAACACATCGTGTAAAGCAATGTCACGATAACCTAAAAAATAATTAATACTACCAATATACATTCATTTTTACGATAGCGCGTCTAAAACGCATCTGTGATGCAGCGCCTACAATCAGATTTAAACGGTTTTGTAAGCCACTTCCGGCAACTGAGTCAATAGGTTTGAATCGATTCTCACGAGTACAAATTATTTGTGATAGACACTATTCTAGGACGATCGGAACAAATGTGTTCCTTTATCGGAACGAAATGTGTTTTTGTTTAAATTGGAATTTAAAATGAATTCATGTATTTTATACTGATAGGGACGGGGAAAATTTTACTCAACTATTTCAAAAACTTTCTAGACACGTTGTTTATGAAAGTATTAAAATGTTTAAATATATGTTTTATCAGCAATAGCATTTTATACTGACACTAAAATATCGATAAATATTCAGTTCTAGAACTTTTATTTTAAAGCAATTTATGGTTAATTTACTTTTATCGGTGTACTAATACGAGTTCTATCATCTAAGGTTTCAATAATGTTTTGATAAATCAAATGTCATGGATGAGAAYGAGCTTAAAACTATTATGTCTTCCGTCCACATAACTTAACTGTTGCGTACTGCACTTGATTTTTAAAAAAAATGAATTTTAAAAAACACTGACGGAGAGCGATTCTCTTCTTGATATTACCTAATTTGTTCTTGTTTATTTTAGATTGTATGTCGAAAGCACGAATCCGTCCTCCGGTAAAAAAAATAAATAATAAAAGAAAAGTATAATTTAACGATAAACACTAAACATGTCTAGAGTATCACAGTATAAAGGTTAAAAAAAATAATAATTAAAACATAAAAGGCAAATAAATGTATTTTTCTTTGGAAATATATTGTGCTAGGAAAACAAAAACGATACAATACGCCTGCAATGGAAGGAACAAAAGCATTGTTTCCATAACTATCGTTTAAATTTTTTTGCATTTAAACAAAACTGTTTATAAAAATAATATGTCATTTTATCGTGTTCAAACGGCCTAAACGATATGTCGCATTGCAGTATGCGTGTGAGTGTAAAACAATTTATATTCTGGTTCTTAACAGTGGCACCAAGACGAATAGTTAATGCGCATCAGACTTAATGAAAATGTTTCCAGCCGTGAATTAAAAATAAAAATAGGAAAGAGAGACGGTTTGAGAGTGAGCTTGATTGTTGTATAATTTAAATCGTGATGCGAATACAAGGTAATTCCATTAAATAAAATTCGTCTCTGAAACGTCGTCCGCTCAAACACGTTGAACATAATTAGATGCAATTTATTGYGATAAATCTTAAGTTTTTCTGACAAATGGTGTTGTTTGAAGTGCAGTGTCAAAATGTGCATTGCGATATTACGTGTCGAACGTATATTATTAAAATACATGTATATTATGTGTATTTATCAGTAACGAACGAAAACAAACACTAAAATGCCGTTACCTCTGGTCCAAGAAGCCGGTGACAGTAGCTGCTGAGCTTCTTCCAGAACGACGGGATCCATAACGACTCCATCTTTCATCGTTGGCACAACAGTCTGGAGTCAATTCATAATTCACCAGCCGTCACTTTCCGTCTCCGATTCATCTGCAACATAAACTCCATCATTGTAGTTCACGATATTGTCGACGAGCAAGATAATATTAATTCTAAATGTGCATATAGTGATCACAAACACCGTTTATGAGTACGATATTTCAAAAGCGACTAATGACTATATATTTCTACAACAGTCATCGCACAAAAAAATCAAAACTTTTCCAAAACTTATCCCACCATTGGAGTTGTCTAAACCCGCACCAGTTGCTACTAATCTTGAAGAAATAAAATACATGTATATATATAAATTCGCACTATTTTACTACCATTGTACAACTTATAAAAACAGGAGAGATTTTTCCATTTATATTTCCTCTTAGGATAATAAATAATATTAAGTAATACGAAAGATACATTTGATTTTAATTCATATTTAAAAAAAAAATATAGATATAAGACGACATATGGGTAGATATTTGGTAGGTGTGGTGATTATAGAACTGATAGAAATTATAAAAAGTTAATTTCAACAWAAAATCTAATTGCTTTGATATGAAAAGTGTTAAAATTATAAACATTCCAAAACCTATATAGTACATAYAATAAATAGTAAATGTGTGTATTTTTAATGATGACAATTCTATAAATTGTACTTTATAATATTATATCAAATACGTCGGTATATATTAAAACAATACATTTTCCGATTAGCAATTCTAACCAAAGTAATCAATCAATTGTGGACCTTTGACAAATAATGACACCCATGGGACGTAAAACACTCCATAATGTTTGGGGGGCTGATTTAACACAACGAAAGAGATAAATCTTATACTTATTACTTATAGTACCTACTGTATATRTAGCCATRTGATTTTAATCGCTATATCGCTAATAAGAGTTATGGTGATATCAGATGTATTATAGGTGAACAGTGAACACATTATAAGAATATAAGATTTGTGTGATTGAAGTAGATATAAAATTTTAAGTGACATTTCAAAAACTATAATAAGTACAAAAGYACAAAACACAATTTTATCAATTTTAAAAATCAAGTTAAAAAGGACACAACATGTGACTAAGAATATCATAAAAATATARTAGGTAGCTATTTTTTTTTTTTTTTTTGTAAATATATTGTTTTATTTTTTTACAAATAATAGATTTTATGTGCGGGTGTAAAAACTTTGGCGTACATATTCAAACGATAAAAAAATTCATTTTATTATTTTAATGATATGATGATTACAATGACTTAAATCTCATCATATATAAAACTATATCTAAAATTCARAACTATGCAACAATAATAATCCATTACCTCTATAATAATTGTCAGCTATTTTATTCACTACTCGTCAAATTTAAAGTAAYACAAAGTTAATTGTAATTCATATCGTAATAATATTGTATTTCTGAACTTCTACAAAATTAACGTAATTAAAAAATGTACCATGTACTAGAATTTTTAGCAATAAAAATAGTTAATATGGCATTTGTATATTTATAAATAATCTTAACCGAAATATAATACCAGAACGATTGCGTAAACACTTTTGCAGATTGAAACCGTATAATAAATTCAATGTAGCTATTGAAATTATAATTATTAATACTATTATTAATCAATAATAATAATTAGAATTGGAATTTGAAAATGAAGAAGAAAGTCAAATGTTAATATTAAATAATTATAACCGAGAAATCCAACATTTGATACAAATCTTTTTTTTTTCAGAAAAGAAATGTACCTGTAATCAAGACAAAATATTTTGTCACTATTCTTTATTATTCTCTTGAATTTAAATAAATGGTCCATTTATACAGACCACTGCCTAATGTAATCATAATATACAARATACCAACTTTAAAATGTATTACTCTTAGAAATGTATTATTTATTTTTAAAGAGTAATTATTTTTTCCTCTAWTTTTTTTAAAAATATAAAAATTAATAAAATTAACTATAATCGAAATTAATATAGAATTTATATAATTTAGACATTTAAAATCATTAATATTTAACACCACATTGCTTTAAATTGCTAATTAAATAATATTTTTTTATTTGCATGAGTACATATACTTATAAATAACAGTAACAATTTTATTATAACTTTGTATTGTTTTATTAAATGTAGTGCTTTAAAATACTTGTATGGGTAAAATAGAAAATGTTGTMTTTGGTTTCGTTTACCAAATGGGACAAAACATTAAATCAAGACTTAAGAGTAAAAAAAACTATTTATACACAGGCTTTTTATATTCAAGCCATTTTCATAATGTTATTATTCCTCGGGTATTAAGTTACTTAAATCAAGCCCCAATKTAGTAGAAAGGAATAAAAATCTGTGGATACCACTTYCAGTGATATATTTATTTACGGTTCTAAATCTCGTAGACATAATATATCAAAACATCGTAAAAAATATTATAAAGATAAAATTAAAATGTTTKTTTTTGAATTTTTATTATGTAATAATATTATATAATGATCAGCGTATGTTAAATTACAAAACTGATATCATAATTCATAATACTATGTTTTTTTTTTTTTTTTACTCGTAAAATTTATCTTTCAAAACGTATTGAGTTAGCTACATAAATAAAATGAAAAATAGTACGATTTTCAATTTGATAATGTACGACCATACTATAAATATCTGGTTCGTAATGTTTGCAGAATATATTCTTTTTATTTTAATAATTGTATCTTGTAAGTTGAAAGCCAAATATAATATCATTATTGACTCATGGTGAATTTATGTTTAAATAATGATTATTTCATTATGATCACAACAATATCATATCGTATATTAGAGATGGCTAACAACTAAAAAAATATATCACTCATATAACCGATATTGATTTATTTTTAACTTTATTTCGAAGTTCCAGTGGCTCTTTGACAATTTCTGACATTTTTACGATGAATATATTAGAAATGCAGATGCTTTTCCAGTTAAAACTATTTTTTATTAGAAAGAACAACATCACAAAATCAAAGCTTTTTTTTTTATTAGCAAGCTTAGTTTCTGTATTAACTATAAAAACAAATTATATTACATCGATGTATTATCGATCTAATATTATTGTAATGGGTTCAATCCACATTGTTAAATAAAATAACTACTGAATTATTGATGTGCAGCAATGACTGGCACTTACGATAATTTGTAGAATTTATAAATGATTAAAATCCAATAACGCAGTTATACTTTTTATTCTACTTAGGTTCGATATTATTATAGAACCTTGATTACTGAACAAATAATTTATGACGTTCGATTAAGGTATTAATAATTGATTTATTACGTGGTGAAATTTTAAGCTAATTGTGCAATAAATATAAAATTATCTTGTAAATAATACGTTAGTTAAGATGCTCTGCTATAACACGACTGACAAACCTCCTCCACTGTGTTTAGGCCTACGTCAGATCCGGACGTCGAATCCCCTAATCAGCAAATTMCTGTCGACGAGCCGTCGACCAACGCACAATTTTTTTTATTGTTTATATAATATAATATAATATCCAAGAATTTGCAACAATATGGAGACAATAAATTAAATATTAAAAAGCTAAATACAAAATATATGAATTCGATTTAAGTGCAAACACAAAATAATATTATGGTGCCTATGTATATAACGACGATGAAAAGCCTTTTCAGTTAAAAAATTACTGTTCGGGAACCATATTATACTTAGTGTAATCAAAGTTAAGTCTACGTACAAAAACAATATGTTTGTATGTTACTGTTAATAATTTTTATGTTTTTTTTTTTCATATGTGGTAAAAATATTACAGTCTTAAAACTTGACCTATTTCGAACGGTGATTTACTAAATTAATTACTATATACTATCACTTTATAGGTATAAGTGCACATTAATTTAGATCGTTGCAGTGATTTGGCAGACATAATTTTATGTTTTTGTTAGTTTTTCGGGTTATTTATTCGGTTTATCCACATGATCAATCACGCTGACACATCATACATTTATACGTGATTGTACGGATTGTAGATTGCAATAATAATATAGTGTACCGATCTACAWCTAAGGACCTACAGGATCCCATTTACCACAGTCGCGTAAACTACACACAATACAAATCCAAATATTTATACCAATAATGGTCATACCTACCATAACCTAAGGATATTATTATTAATTGGGTTCGAATGAAACCGAACGCCTCCACCGACGGAATTGGTCGGATTTTTCTGACGAATGCGCTTGCCTACCGATACTCGGCCATTTCGATGTGTGTCTTGCGAACGACATAAATCATTCCCACAACAGTTGAGCTCGCGGCGAAAGGCGCATTTCACGGCGCTAATAGTCACCCGGCCACCACGCCAATATCATATATAATAATATGTTAGGGTCCGGTGATAAACGACTTGAAATCCTCTGAAAATTGGTCCCGGAGGAGAGCTCTAATCACGGTACATTTGTCTTGCGGTGTCCGAGGTAGAGAGACTGCAGCGAGCAACGTGCGCGCGGGACAACGCCGCCCGCGCAAATGATTAAAATTCTTTTCGGCCATCGCGTCCGAAGATTATATTATTGTTGTCGTGATGTTTATTATTGACGAGACGATATTGTACCCGCCATCGCAGTAAGACCGTTATTATTATTTGCGAATGTTTACCTACGATGATGTTATTCGCACGAGACCCGCGGGCCGATTTCAAATGCAAACGCCATCGTCTTGTGTTTAATTAGATGATAAAATATAATATGGTGTGCTCCTTTACTTTTAGTGTGCCACACTTAATGCGTAGGTAACGCATATACTTTGTAAACAGACCGTATAAGACAATACGACCGTAGAATCGTTTGGAAAAAGGTAAGTTGTATAACCTTGAGAGCTAGCGAAATTCACTCAAACTTCTTAACTACCTGTCTGGCCCTCTTCTACCGACCATCACGTCCTGAATAATCTTTAAAATATCTAGGTAGACGACTTATCTAATGGATTCTTGATTAAGATCAATCATTTAATTTATATTTTTTTTAAATAATTAATATCTAGAA